TTTGCTGGTTACTTTTTCAGATCTTGGTGGGTTTTCTTCCTATTTTCTGAGTTTGTTTTCTTGGGTTGGGTGTTTATGTTTTCTATGATCTAATTCTGGAGTGTGTTTCATCGCTGGCGATTTTACGTGTCTATGGTTCCGGGTTGGTCTCGGTGGTTTCCGGTCATGCGGTGGTGGTCTTCGGTGGTTTTGCGCTGGAAGATGGTTGCGTCTTTCAGATTGCTACCTCTTTGGTTCAGGTGGCCACGTGGGTGGCTGGGGTTGTGGATGAGCTTTGGCTGGGGTACGTGGTTGGTGGGTGGGTGGTGGGCCCTTTTGGGAATATTTCCTTTATGGTTGCAGATTTCCCATTGTTCTCCACCTCATTTGCTTTTAGTGGCACTGCGAATACACGTGGGTCTCTTTGTTCTTTGTGTCCAATTTGTGGTGGGGATCACTATGCTCTCTCTAGACGCTTTCTCTAAAGGCCTCGTCGTCCCACCTTGGGTTTGGAGTTGGTTGACATGTGTTTTGCTACGGTACTTTTTATCTCCAGTTCTAGATTGTGCTACGTGGATCTGTTATTCTTTTTTTGGGTGTTGTATATCTGTTTTTCCCGGCTGGTTTTTCCATTGTTCTTTGGTTACTGTCTTCTCTAGTAAGCATCGAGTGAGTGGTTTCGTGAGTTTCCTTTTTCTTGTTGCTTTCTTTGGGGCTATGGAGGTTCCGTTGATTGATCAAATGCGTGGGCTTACGCTTACCCGAGGAGACGGAACCTGTGCTTCTTTTGCAAGATGACACTGCCCAGGGAGTAGCTGTATGCTGCGATAGTCAGTTTGGTAAAGTTTAGGCTTCTAAGACTATTACTTTGGTTGGGGCTAAGTATACTTTTGGCCGCTTGTTTCACAAGTTGTGGACTAAGGCGACTTCTGACTCTTCTTCCGCCCGTCTGCCTGTTTATAAAGTGGCGCGCAATCTGTTTCAACTTTTTATTTCGGATCGGGCGAGTCGGCATCGGCTTCTTCAGGGTAGTCCGTGGCTGTTTGATGGGCATTTACTGGTTTTGCAGGAGTGAGGGGAAGGTTTATTGTCTTCTGAGGTGTCTTTTAACTTCTTCCCTTTTTGGATTCACTTGCTCGATGTTCCTGCCCATTATCTTTCGGCTAGTGTTGGGATGAGGATTGGGAATTTTATCGGTAGGTGTTTGTCTGTTGAACTTAGGGATAAGGGTATGCTGGAAAGTGTCGATACTTTGTTGATAGCTAGTAGGGTTCTTCGTCTCAAGGTGGTTTTGGATGTAACTAAACCTCTTCGTTGGTAGGTGCAATTACAGGGACCGTTTGATGCGGATTTATGGGTTTAAGTTCGTTATGAAAAACTCCTGTCTTTTTGTTTTGCATGTGGGGTCATTGGCCACAATTGGAAGTCTTATTCTCTTGGCACCTCTTCGACTACGCCCGAGAAGTAGGAGTATGAGCCTTGGTCAGGGGGTGGATGGGTATCTGGGAAAGGGTCTCTGGAATTTGGCCGGGGTTCGAGGTGGTTCGTTGGAAGCTGGGGTAGGGAAACGTTGGATTTATGTGGAGGGCGATAAGGCTGATCAAGGCGCAGGTCCAGGAGATGGCGGCTCTGTTCTTAGCTTTTGTCTGCTTCGGATACAGTAGCTTCTTTTCATGGTGTGCCGGGAATGCTTTCTAATGTTGGTGCGGTCGCTCAAGGGCCGACTGATGCTAGGAATGTGGCCTCTTTTTTTCATTTGGCTGGTGGGGATCGTGCTGGTGTTATAAGGAGTGTACCACTTCTATCGTCGTCTCCACGGTCTCCGGTCGATGCTGCTGCGCCTAGGCAGGGTTCCCCGCAGTGCAAGGGTCTCTTTCGCAAAGTTTTGTGGCTTCGGTGCATGTGGAAGAGCCTATCCAATGCGTGCCCTCTGTTTCACCTACTTGTCAAGCGTCGTCAACAACTGAACCGGGTTCGTCTTTGGTCCGGTCTACTCATAAGCGACGTCCATCGTTGGCTAGTTCTATTTCTAGGTCTCATAAGGTGGCGGGTAAGAAGCCAAAAATTTCGGTGGGCCATGTTCCGACTGGTATGTGTCATACTGTTACAGCGACTGAATTCCAGTGTGGTGCCCGTGGCGCTAATGACTTTTCTGCATATGCTCAATCGCTTTCTTTTACGAGACAGCTGGTGCTTTTGGATGGCGCTACCATGCCTCCTCCTTCTGTAACCCACTGATCGTTGTGGATCTGTTTTTGTGCTGTTTTGTGATGGGTTTTGCTGGGTTGTTGGTTTGTGTTTTGTTGGGTTGTTATGCATGGTTTGTTGCCTTTTGTAACTGCCGTTGGGCTTATGTTTACCAATAATAAAAAATAATAATAATAATAAAAAGGACAAAACCAGTTGTGGGAACGTTGACTTAGGATATTAGTAAAAATGCTGACTTAGGATATTAGTAAGAACGGCATATGTATGTTATATCCACATATTTGGGAAGACGCAACGATAAGAAGATTGAATAGTATTTGGTCTCTCAAATAAAAAATAAAAAATAGAAAGAAAACAAAATTGAGGTATTTTGAAATACCTAAAATATACAATCCCCTACATATTTCAAATTACAGAAGTAACTAAAGAATTAATCAGGGGACCATAAAAATCCAATGCATCAAAATTGGTGTCTTTTTGGATTATGAATTAGCCCTAATGTTAGTCATGATTTATAGAAAAATTGGTGAAACTATGTTGTCAGGATATTTCTCCATCAACTACAGAGCCCCACGTGCACATCTGATTAAAGAAGACGGCCCAAACGTTCAATCCAGAAAGTAAAAGCCCAACTTCGAAACTAGCCCAAAGGATAAGGAAACTCCACATGCCACAAAGACCCAAAGGCAATTATATAGCCCACATGACCTAAAGCAAAACCTTGACCAGCACGATGAAGAGTAACGCACAAACATGATAAAAAAGGCAAGATATCAGACTGTATTACAATCCAGAAAGGAAAGCCCTGAGAAGACTCCTTGACTTTTACAATATACAAATATAAGTATGAGCAAAAGACCCAAATATAGGATAAGCTGTTCACGGCCATCTGACTCTTCTGTTCTCTTTTGAATATTTCTTTTTAGCATTCGTTCTGAATTATCCAAGTGTTCTTGATTGAGTGTTCGTGTATTGAAGTTCTTAGATTGGACCTCGGCGTTCGGTCCGAGATTTTATGCACCCACATATGTTTCTGTGAATCAAGATTTCTTATTGTGTAAATTAAATAACTAACCACCCAGAACGTTATCTCTTTATATCGAAGATGTTAATAACGAGTTGGCGCGAATAGGCCTTGTGCCCTACTTGGATTTTCAAAAGAGCGGCCCCACCTTCAAACTTATATATTTGAATCCATCAAGTTTATACCGCAACTAGACACACCACCCAAGAATTAATTAAGAATTTCAATTTAACCTTTTACTTTACAATATTTCACTAACTACACAATAACAAAAGATTCTCAAGAAAATTTGCGCTCTTCCTAATCAACTAGTAACTTGTATTAACTCATATGAGCCTACTTCCCGGGATCTCCATTCACACTGGTTGGGTTACCATCATTGTTGACCTTTGTTATAGCCATAAGCCACATCCCCCTCAATGTTATTACTCACTAACTTCTGTCAAGTGGTTTTGTCACTGATCGACTAAATTCATCTCCAACCTTATAAAATCTAGGGATATAAGCCCAGTCTCAAACAACTGTCTCACAATATTATGTCATGGGCATATATTCTTGTTTTTCTCATTGTATATTTTATTCTTTGCTTTAGCTATTGCAGCATGGCAACACACAGGCGGAGCCAGTCTAATCTATATATGAGATTTCTAAGCCACTCAACCTCAAACCTAGCCTTTTCTAAGGCTATTAACTCAAATTCCATAAAGGATCAAGTTATGCATGTTTGTTTCGAATTTTTTCAAGATACTGCACCCGCATTGAGAGTAAATAAATACTCACTTGTGGATTTCATCTCATTTGAATCAGAGATCTAGTTAGCATTACTATACCCCTTGTACATCGAATACCTCTCAGATATCTGAGTACTCGAATACCTCTCAGATATCTGAGTACTCGGTAAGAGCTGCCTAGGGTTCCTTATTAGGATTCTGAGTGTCTACTCGATCTACAATCTGCATATGCTATATCAGCTCTACAAAAGTTCATTAAATACATCAAACTACCAACAATTGGAGTATACTTAGATTGTAACATACCCTATTTTAAATTTTTTTAATTAGGAGTTAGCATCATAAGGTATGGAAACATTTTTACATTCAAAATGATCAATTTTCCTTAGTAACTTTACAACAAAGTGCTCGAGATACCATGATACCATCAAATGTAGTATTTTTTTAATTCCTAGAATTATATATGTTTCTCCCAAATCTTTCATATCAAAGGGAGAGGCCAAAAATATTTTAATTTCATCAACTATCTCAATATTAGTTCCCATAATAAGCATGTCATCCACATATAAACATATAATCACACACATGTTATTCACAAATTTACAATATATACATTTTACCTGCCTCATTAATCAAGAAATCATTTGATACCAACACGTCAAATTTATCATGCCATTTTTTGGGAGCTTGTTTTAAGCCATATGATAGACTACTAATTTACACAATTTATGCCATTAGGCAATCTCCGTATATTGTTTTCGGCAACCCTGCACAAAATTTTGGTAGATTAAGACTAATAATTATTAAAAGATTTAACCCTGCAAAATCTAGTACTTATCATCAATAAAAGCGTAGGGAGTACCAAAAAAAAAAAAAAACGAATGCCAACTGAAATGATGCTAAATCTCGAGTCTATCTAAATGCACTTTGAAACATCGTCTACCTAACGAAGAATATCAACCAAGAGAATCAATTTTCCGGGACTGCATGAAACCTGGCCTTTTGCTGATTATATATAGCATAAATTGTAAACAGATTTAGATAATGTAAGAAAATGATTCTCCGAGACAAACGCCCTTGCCCTTTCATAAACAAAAAAAGAAGTCAAGTTCTCAAACTCCAAACAAACGAAGGTGATCCTTTCTTTTTTATGGTACATGCACATTATTACAAATCCAAATAAACAACCACATTTTTCGGTACCTATTTTATGTTTTGTGCTAACTTACTAATGCCATATCAAGTCATAATAGGGTTCACAAGTATCCATGCCTTTTTCTTCTTGAGAGATCTCTTTCTGTAACCATGTAAGTCCCAACCCAGTGTGTCGTCATAGGGTTCATACTCTGGACTGTTGAGAACTTGGGTCAATAATGCATCTTCCCACAGAAACTGTAAAATTGGTATAGATGCCAATGAATTCGTGATGGAACACAACTACAATCCACCATTCCGCCATTGAAGTAGATAAACTTATACTAAATAATTCACAACTTCTCTGAAGGCAGATCGAACTTCACATTGCCAAGGTACAATCTGCCATTTCTCCATTGAAGTCGATAAACTTTTACCAAGTAACCCACAACTTCTCTTTACATATCTGAAGGCAGATCGTATTTCACATTTCCAAGGTAAAGGCCACATGCGGGGGCCATGGGACTGGCAGCAGTCACTGTCTTTGCATTCAGGATGCGTTCAACTGAAAAGATTCGTTAAATTCAAAATGCAAAATTAGTCCAAAACAAGACTCAAATAATAATACTCTGTATATACACAGGATAACAAAGAAATATATATATATACATAATTTTATATATATATATATATAACCATACAAACCATCAGGAATAGTCAAATCTCCAGTGCCAACAGATTTGAGAACACCAACCAGCAATCTGACCTGGAAAAAAATTAACTGAAACCATAAAAACATACATATCCCAATAGATTTGAGAACACCAAGAAGCAATCTGACCTGCAAAAAAATTAACCGAAACCATAGAAACATATCCCGGGAGCCCAAACCTGGTAGGGGGGCCGGTATTAAGGCATAAAAAATAAATTAAAAAACAGCAAAAATTAATTTTTGAAGGGTTATTTCTCTTTTTTACGCAGCCAAATGGTTACATAGTACATCCTAGAAATTTTATTAGATATGCTAGCTGACACCTTCATTCATAATGGTGGGTTACATTGAATCTGAAACACATAACCACTCTATATGTCAATTGACCTAAAATGTATGTCCTTTTTTTTTTGGGTATTTTGTCTATGTATAACATAATCCAATTATAATTGAATCAGTGACCCATGAGCAACTATAAAAAAAAATCATTTAGAAGAAAGAAGCAGCTAACTGGTTTCAAAAATGTCTGACCTAAATATATGATCATATATGTCTTCCAAAATAAGAAAAATGGTTAAGATGGTTTCGACATGTGCAAAGAAGACCCTTAAGTGTGCCGGTTAGGAAAATTGACATAGTCCACATTGACGGTAATACTAGGGGAAGAAGAAAACCAACTTCTAAATGCTACATATCTGTTCTTAATCAAGAGAGAAACAGAGAGTGCAAAATTGTATTCTCTTTGTATATAAAAACAACTTACCAAATCTAATAAGCCTATGTAGGCTTATATATGTTACAAGGTTTACATAATAACACAAACAGCATATTAACTAAACATAATTACATAACGACCCACTATTATATATATAACTTCTAACACTCCCCCTCAAGCTGGAGAATATATATCAAATAATCCCAGCTTGGAACAGATAGTTCTTAATCGATTATGACCCAATGCTTTGGTAAACATATCAGCTAATTGATCTTCAGACTTCACGAATGGAGTAGAGATGCTCCCACGTAATATTTTTTCTCGAATAAAGTGACAATCAACTTCAATATGTTTGGTCCTCTCATGAAACACAGGATTTGATGCAATGTGAACTGCTGCTTGATTATCACAGAACAATGGAGTAGGAGCTTCAACTGTCAACCCAAGTTCTTTTAGAAAATGTTGTATCCATGTCAACTCACTAGTGGTATGGGCCATTGCCCTATACTCAGCTTCAGCACTAGATCGAGCTACCACCGTTTGCTTTTTACTTCGCCATATAACTAGATTTCCTCCTACAAATGTGCAGTAACCGGTAGTAGATCTCCTATCTGAAGGAGAACCGGCTCAGTCGGCATCTGTAAAACCTTCCACCCTGAGATGACCATTTGGCTTATATAGTAACCCAAAACCTGGAGCTTGCTTGAGATATCGGAGAATCCGAAGAACATCAATCCAGTGTGGCATTCTAGGGGCTCCCATGAACTGACTTACAACACTAACAACATATGAAATATCAGGTCGAGTGATAGTGAGATAAATTAATTTCCCAACAAGGCGACGAAATCTGCCCGAGTCACTAAATAGATCACCCACATCAGCTACAAGTTTTGTATTTGAATCCATAGGAGTATCAACCGGACGACCACCTAACATACCCGTTTCTTCTAATAAGTCCAACACATACTTTCGTTGGGATAAACTTATACCTGTCTTGGATCTAGCTACTTCAATACCCAAGAAATACCTAAGTTTACCCAAGTCTTTAGTGTGGAATCGATATTGCAGAAACAACTTCAACTTAGCAATGCCTTCAGAATCATCACCTGTGATCACAATATCATCAACATACACCACAAGAATTATGAAACCAGCTTTAATGCGCTGGTGAAATACCGAATGGTCAGTCTGACACCTCTAAAGACCAAACTTTAATGCCGCCTCAGAGAATTTTCCAAACCAAGCCCGTGGAGATTGTTTCAAGCCATATAGAGCCTTTTTAAAGCGACAAACAGTGTGAAGATACTCCCCCTGAGCAACAAACCCAGGTGGTTGCTCCATATAAACCTCTTCTGCTAAGTCACCATGCAAAAAGGCATTTTTAACGTCTAACTGAAATAGAGGCCAATGCCTATTAGCAGCAAGAGAAATCAAAACACGAATAGAGGAAATCTTAGCAACAGGTGCAAACGTCTCATCATAATCAATACCATAAGTCTGGGTATAACCTTTGGCAACAAGACGTGCTTTTAAACGCTCAACGGACCCATCCGGAAGATACTTCACAGTATATACCCAGCGACAACCAACAGGCTTGACACATGGAGGTAATGGAACAAGAGTCCACGTGCCATTCGTATGCAAAGCATCCATTTCATCCTGCATTGCTTTCCTCCAACCCGAATCAGACAAAGCATCCTGCACAGTCTTAGGAACAAATGTAGTAAACAACTGAGAGGAAAAACATGAGAATGATGGTGATAAGGAATTATAAGAAACATAATGAGCAATGGGATGTTTAGTAGCACACGAGCGAGGAGCTTTACGAAGTGCAATCGGCAAGGAATCAGACACAGTGGAATTTGTCGGATCCAAAGACTCTGAAGATGATGGAGGATGCACGACAGCAGATGGCTTTGGTCTTCGTTTGTACACCTGTAACGGGGCAGATGAAGGAACCAGAGATTGAGATTGAAGAGAAGGTGAGGCAAGAGGAACTGCAGAAGGAGGCGACTCAAGATTGATATCAAGAAGTGAATCAGTATCTGAAAAATACGGGATGGACTCAGAAAATGTGACATCCGCGCTAATAAAGTACCGTTAAGAAACAGGACTATAGTAGCGATAACCTTTATGAGAGCGAGAGTAGCCAAGAAATACACACTTTGTGGCACGTGGGTGTAGTTTATCAAAACCAGGACCAAGATTGTGGACATAACATACACATCCAAAAACCCTAGGAGGAAGAGAAAACAAGGGAGAATCAGGAAATAAAATAGAATGTGGAGATTTGCCATTTAATATAGATGACGGCATACGGTTAATAAGATGACAAGCTGTAAGAACAACATCACCCCAAAACCGTTTAGGCATACGCATATGAAACAAAAGAGCACGAGTTACTTCTAAGAGATGTCGATTCTCACGTTCTGCAACTCCATTTTGTTGTGGAGTATAAACACATGAATTTTGATGAATAATTCCTTTATCACTAAGATATGTATCAAAGGGAGTTGAAGAATATTCCTTAGCATTATCAGAACGTAGAATACGAATTGGACATCCAAATTGAGTTTTGATTTTTTTGCGAAATTTTTGAAAAATTAAAAATAACTCAGAACAATCTTTCATTAGAAACAACCAAGTCAAGCGAGACTAGTCATCCACAAATGTCACAAAATAATGAAATTTATTGATTAAAGAATGTTTTATTGGACCCTATACATCCGAATGAACCAAATGAAAAGGACTAGAAACACGATTATTAACCCTAGACTTGAAAGACACGCGATGGTGCTTACTAAGTTGACAAACTTCACATGACAAGAATTTCAAATAACTAAGACTAGGAACTTGACGCTTCAAAACTTGAAGTGACGGGTGACCAAGGCGACAGTGCCACTGGAATGGAGACAGAGAAGACTGAAGAGCCACAAGAGAAGGTTCGAAATCAAAATAATATAAGCCACCGGCTTCATGTCCCGTACCAATCTTCTTCTTCGTCTTGAGATCTTGAAACACACAAGAAGTAGGATCAAATATAACAGAGCACTGGAGAGATTTAATAAGCTTACTGATAGACATTAAGTTAAAAGGAAACTGCGGAACATGTAAAATAGACGAGAGAGACAATGAATCACTAAGTTGAGTTGTCCCCAAACCTGAAACCTGAATGGATGAACCACTAGCAAGAGTAACACTTTGAGAAGTAGGTACAGAATGAAAAATCAGATAGAAGAGAAGAACATTCGGTCATATGATCAGATGCTCCAATGTCTATGATCCAAGGACTGCGAGTGGAAGACAATAGACATGTGTATGCAGTACCTGACTGGGCAAAGGTAGCCGTGGAAGATGAATTAGATACTTGCTTATAAGAAAAAAACTGAGTATACTCATCCCGTGGAACATGAACTGTATCTGATTCAGCTACATTGTGCGATCCAGAAGCGACATCATTCGGAGAAGAGGAAACTTGATTTGCATAACTAGATGGTTTCCCATGAAGGTCCCAACAAAAGTTCACAGTATGATTAGAAAGACCACAATGAGTACACTTTCTTAATTCCTTGCCACGGCCACGTCCTCCACATGAATCACGACCACCACGGGCGGAGCGTCCCCTACGACCTCCACGGTAAGTATTATGTTCACCCTTTGAAACTACCAATGCTGAATGCTCACCACTCTGTCCAGTATTCAAATTTGAGGTATCACTTGCTAGTGTAGCACGCTGAAGTTGAGAAAACACCTCAGCAAGAGATGGAAGTGTTGGACTGCTCATAATCTGTGCACGAAAAGGCTCATATGCTGATGATAAACCAGTAAGAAAACGGACAACATTAAAGTCCGCACGCTGTTGTTGCATACTGCGAACATCAGCAGTGATGGGCTGATACATATTCAGCTCTTCACAGACTCCCATAACTTTGGAATAATACTCTTCTATACTTTGAGTACCTTGTTCAAGATTGAAGTACTGTTTACATAGCTCATAAACACGGGTGATATTACCTGTCCCAGAATATAACTGCTGCAATTTATCCCATATCTCCTTGGCTGTATCCAAATAAAGTAACGTTGAACTAATTTGGGGTTCAATACTGTTTATCATCACAGAGATGATCTGAGCATCTTCCTTTTCCCATGCATCAAAGGAAGTATCAGTTGCCTTGAGTTTCTCTTTAGTCAAATGAGAACCAAGACCTCTGCCTTTGAGAAAAATGGCAACAGATTTGGCCCACAATATGTAATTCTTCCCATTGAGCTTAACTGAAGTCATGGGAGAATTAAGACTATTCGTGGGTGAAAGCAAATCTGAACTTGAACTTGAGGCCATGTTGAATCCAACAAAACAGAGAAGAAAAAGGAGAGAAAACAAAAATTCTGTATTCCAGCCGAACCTGGAAGCAGGTCTGTAACGGGTCGGATTCTGAAACCTGGTCGGATCCTGGCACGGGTCGGATCCTGGTACGGGTCGGATCTTGGAACTGGACCGAATCTGGACTATCCCTGATTTAGTAAACCGGGATTGGAATAGCACAACCGTGTTGCCAAACACGGGTCTTCTTCTTCACTCTGTAACAAACTCCGGTAAACAATACGGCGGAGGCGACGGCAACCCAACCACGAGCAGCGGCCGAATCAACTTCCGGCCGAAAACCGATCTCACCTCTGCAAATCGAGACGAAGAAGCTTCTGCCGGCGACGACAAAGAAGCCAGAGATAACGACCACCAAAGAGGAGCTGCCGGTGACGATGAAGAAGGCAGAAACGACAAACACACTTCAGATCTGATTACGGTGAACAAGAAATTGCCGACAGAGACATCAAAACCACATTCACGATCTGAATCACGATTTGAATCACGATTGGAATCGTGATTCACCACCAACCCACCTACTAACTCTCACACTCATGATCATTGTGCTCTGATACCATGTTCTTAATCAAGAGAGAAACAGAGAGTGCAAAATCGTATTCTCTTCGTATATAAAAACAACTTACCAAACCTAATAAGCCTATGTAGGCTTATATATGTTACAAGGTTTACATAATAACACAAACAGCCTATTAACTAAACATAATTACATAACGACCCACTATTATATATATAACTTCTAGCAATATCCATGAATGAAAATATAAAACAAGTACCTATGGATCATGATTCACAATACGAATTTGTAGTCTTTAGCAAGTGTATGATGTAAATTTGTAGGTGGGCAACAATCACGCCACAGTAATTCCATGATAAATGTTGAAAAAAAATAAAATAAAATTCCATGCGTTGGTAAGAAGAGGTAAGTTAGTATATCTTTTCCACCTTGGTTCTATAGGAGCAAGTCAGACAGATTGAAAAACAGAACCATCTGATTTGATTTGTTCTCAATATCCATGTGGATTGTTGTTGCATATTCATCTCCTGTTGCAGCTGCTACTGCTCTTTTCTTGATTTACCCAATTGGTCAAGGAAGTTTTTCTGATGGTATGCCTCTGGGATTCTCAACATCTGTCGGTCCAATCAACTAGTAATCGTGATAGAAGCAAAGAACTGAGATTGCTCCATCTAGCAGACTTGGCCTAATAACTATCCTATAAAAATCCTAATTTAACCTATTTATTCAACCTGATCCAATTATACTACTTATATTCTTATCTATTTCTTCCTTTTATATTACTGATCTTAGATCATTATATAATCAACATTTGAATCTTTATTAAATGTACATTCATATACTTGGTTTTAATTATACAAATTTTCAATCCTTTTAATTCTAAATAACTCATTTCTCCACATTTCTAATTTTATTACTAAGTTTTCTTAATCCAACTTAGTTGACCAATCTAGACCAACCACATAAAATTTGGGTACCGAAGTTCCGGTCTTGCCAATGACTATAAAACCAGGCCATAATGCCTTCTGTTTCTAGCCCAAACTCAACTTTTTGCTACCTTCGATCCATCAGACCAAATGCTCATTCATATTGGCACATCAAATGACCGAGTGCACAAAAGTAAATTTACCTGAACAGTGACTTTGAAAACCAAAATGTAGACGGCATAAGATATAAACAGGATTAGATGGGGAAGAAGCATAAGACCAACCTGATGGTACAAAAAGGAGCGTGCTCTCACAGTTACCACATAGCAACGGTATCTTCTCCTTGTGCCAAATCCTCGAGTTGTTTCCCCATTTGAGCCATCTACCTTATCTTGATCGGAAATTGAGGAATTGCGAGGCAGATCAGTCTTTACCTTGTTATAGCTTGCAAAAGGACCTCCAGCATAACTGCTTTGTTCCCTCTCTGCGAATGATGGAAAATATGGAGTTGAAACTACCTCAGTAACATTGAGTTCATCTAAAGTTCTGATAGGTGACTTTGCCTGTTAACCACAAAGAATTGCAGTGTCATAACTCCTACATTGCAAGAAGATTCGCTGTACAAGTTTAAGCCAAACATCAAAGCCAGCAGACAGTAGCATAATCTTGTTAAGTCAGGTTTATTAATCAAATTTTACAGTAATACCCGAAATACAAAATTTTAATATTACTATATTGCTTTAGAAGGGGTGCTCGGTGCAGTGGTAAATCTTGGGCAGCCAATTGTGAGAATGTGGGAAGGCAGCCACATAGCATTTGAATGCCAAAGGTTAGGTCCATACCCAATCCGTCCCTCCCAACACCATAACAGCAACTGATATAAGGTAATGGCCTTTTTATCATATTGCTTCATAATTTTTTTCACAAAAATCCTGAAAGTATATTTAGGTAGATGAGAACTACAGCTGTTGAAAAAAAATCATTACTGTTGGGGTTTAGAGAGGCTTTGTGAAGGAGGCAACAAGATCAAGTGAAAATTGGGAAATAAAAACAGAATTGGCTTGAAGAACAAGATCGCTACTTCATCTGTTTCAATCACAGCTTAGGATAACGTAGGTGAGACCTAGGGCTTAGAATCTACGTAGGTTAGTTAATTGCATTGCCTTAGGCCTAGGTGGATGGTTATACAAGCTTGAAGTGTTTTTGGATGTTTTGGGAACTTCCGAAAAGTTAAAAGTTATTTTAGATTTGTAAATACAAGTTTTTTTGGAAGAAAAAAATGCATTTATGCACTGGTAAATTTATGAGTCATGCAATGTGATATGATATTGTTAGAGAGTTGGGTTATTGGGCTGTTAGAGTAGATGGGTTGTTAACATGGCATCAGAGCCAAATGTTTTGAGTTCAAACCTCACCGTCACCCTAATTAAAAAAAATTGAAAAACATATGTTGGACCCAAAAGAGGCCACACGTGTTGAAGGATTTATATATTTAAGTTACACCCTCTCTAACAGCTTAAGCTTTTAGAGTAGATGGTAGTTAACAGATATCTAATTCAAAATTTGAGTGAAATGGATCTAGGCGGATGAATAGTCCCCTTAATTTAATGCTTACATTGAACAATTATCATACACAATCACACAAAGAAAGCAAAATTAAGATTAAATAAGCAAGAACAAAGAGACAATTTTTATAAGGAAAACCCAGATGGAAAAAATCATGAAACACTGGTTCTGAGCTCATAACCCACTTGCTATGAAAGGAACAACCTTACCATGCTACTACAGACTCTGAACCCAAAAATCACTAGGCAATTGCCGCTAATGCACAGAGTTATCATAGCCAGTCCCTCACCCTAAAGATACATATCAGGGGTACCAAATAAATTTTTAACAAAAAAAACTAGTGGTGTCAGAGCTTTGAAAGGTTTCATGGACATGGGGTTTATATAACTAAATATATGAACATTACGTAATTGTTGGGAGGTTGAGATGATCAAATTTTTTTTTTTTTTTTTCCTTCCTTTTTTTCACAAATTCAAATAAATTATCATTATCTGATTATCAAGAATTTACATATATATATATATATATATATATATATATATATTATATCCATTTGGATTTCTTTTCCCTATATCGTTGGGGGAAAAAGTTCCTGGCAAGTATAGGGGGATGCCTCCTACCTATGTAGACGCATTTATCAAATCGTGAGCGCAAAGAGGGTGCAAAACAGACAAAATCGGAGCATAGGCTTAAGGGTTAACTGGCTAAAGAAAGTAGAATAAGTACAGAATTTAAGTGTTAATTAAGATAAGAATCTGTGATATGCATTAATTATCTGCTTTCTTACCATGCTCCAATTTAAGTATGATTATTAAGGCTAATGATAATGTGATTACTTATTGAAACAAGACATCTGGAGTTGGTAGATGCAGGGTAAAGGAGGTGGTGGACGTGTTGGCGCTGGTTGTGGCGAAGCAGGTTGTGGGATTGGTGAGATGGAGGAGGCTCTTTGATGCCTAATCCTGATGGGGACAGGGTCCCATCACCCATGTCATCTCTTATTAGAGAGAAGAGGAGATTGGGGACAATTGATTTTACGGGGGCTGCAGATCCACTTGGTGTGAGAAGTGGACTGAGGTGCAAAAGAGGAGGATAGCTGCTTTCTTTTTGTCTGGTGATGCGAGCTGATGGTGGCAATCAATGATTAGGACTAGTGGGGATGTCGCCAACATGAACTGGGAGGAGATCAAAAACAGATTTTACAATAAGTACTTCCTATGTGCTGTGAGAAAGAAGCCTATAAAAAAAAATAAAAAAAAAGTACATGGTGGTAGGGTTTCATTACTGTCAGCCAGTACGAGGCCAAGTTCACAGAGCTCTCTCGATTTGCCCCATATATGGTGAGATGAGATCAACCGAGTTAAGAAGTTGGAGCAAGGTTGATTCCTAACATTAGGGAGATGGTGGTTAGTCAGTGGTTGACCATTTACTCAGCTGTTGTAGAGCGCGTGATGGCAGTTGAGCAGGACTAGCTAAATTATCAGAGGCAGAGGGACCAGAAACTTGAACAGAGAGGCAAAGGGAATAGTAGTTCTCAGACAAAACAGGAAGATAGTTCTGACAGAGTCAGAGGAGCATGGTCAGCATTGGTACAGAGGGAATAACTTTCAGAGGCCAGAAAAACGACAGCGCTCAGTTGACTCAGAGCACACTACAGCCATTGTGCCAGCCGAACCAACCCAATGAGTGGAGCCTAATCGATTTGTGGGGCATTGCTACAATTGCAGAGGGAGATGACACATGGCCAGAGACTAGCACAAACCCTGCATGAACTATCTGCCACCTGGTTAGAACGTGGGTAGGAGCAAGGGAAGGCCATGGTATTTTCACTGGCTTGTGGTCTCTCAGTATGTAGACATGTTCCAGGTGATACCAGGATTGCCCCCAAGGAGGGTGGGTTGACTTCTGTATCAATCTTGTGCTTGTTACCTCACAAATTTCAAGGGTGACTCCTATGGAGTTAAAGGACTGAAAAGTCAAATTTAGGAGTTATTCGGGGTGTCATCAGACATAGTCATCACCTTGGGTTACGCCTATTTTGTTTGTAAAGGATGGGTCACACTGATTATGCATTGACAATCCTGGATTGAATAAGGTGACAATCAGGAATAAGTATCCTTTGCCTCACATCAATGATATGTTTGACCATCTCCGAGGAGCACAATTGTTCTCTAAGATTGATTTGAGAACAGAGTATTACCAGTTGAGGGTTAGGGAGGAGGATATCCTTAAGCCAGCATTTAGGACTCGTTATGGTCTGTACAAGTTTCTAGTCATGCCTTTTGGCCTACCAAATGCCCCAACTGCATTCATGAAACTGATGAATAGGGTGTTTCGGTCATTCCTATATCAGTTTGTGGTGGCGTTTGTAAATGATATCCTGATCTACTCCAAGACTTTAGATAAATATGAGCAGCACTTGGAGATAACACTAGAGACATTGCGTGAACATCGGCTTTACGCCAGATATTAGAAATGTGAGTTTTGACAGGAACAAATTCAATTCTTGGGACATGTGACCTCGAGTAGTGTAGCGTCAGTGGATCTTGCCAATGCAGAAGCCATGTTGAATTGGAAAGTCACTAAGATTTGGAATTTCTTTTGTCTGGCCGGATATTATCAACAATTTGTTAGGGTTTCTCGAAGATTGTAGCACCATTAAGTCGGTTGACACAAAAGTTTGTATGAAAGGACAGTTGTGAGCGAGCATTTAATGAGTTTACATCTAGGTTGACCACGACACTTGTTCTCATTATTCCCATCAGTGATGAGAGTTTTATTATCTATACTGATGCACCGCACCAGGGCCTGGGTTGTGTAGTAATGCAATAGGATAAGGTGGTGGCTTACGCATCCCAACAGCTTAAGCAACTTGAGTAAAACTATCCTATGCATGATTTTGAGTTAGCAGCCGTTGGCCTTCCATTGAAGTTGTGAAGGACTTATTGTATGGAGAGAAGTTTGACGACACCTTCTTGCCGTACAAATAATGGAGTTAGCAGCCATTGTCCTTGCATTGAGGTGTCCTAAAACATCTCATCGTACAAATAGTGCCTCCATATCTTCAATGCAAGGACAACGGCTGCTAACTCCAAATAATGTGTAGGGTAGTTCTACACATGTGGCTTAAGCTGTCGGGATGCGTAAGCCACCACCTTACCCTGCTACATTAGCAACAACCCAGGCCATGTGAATAAATGAGCAGCCGAGCCGAGCCAGCTCGAGCTCACTTGAGCACTGAAGAGATGAACTTGATCATGGGCAGTCAAAGCTTGATCAAGATTGAGCCGAGCTCAAGTATCCCCATGGCTTTGACAAGCCTAGCACAAACACTCCAAGGCTCGGCTGGGCTAGTTTGCAACCCTATTAACAAGGGATGAAATCATTTTGAAAAGTTAAATGTTATAGGTGAGTTGCATATAATAGAAAATAATGGGGAAAGAAAATTCATGTAGCCAATCCCATTCATATGGTATTAAGATAAGGAGGATGATAATGACAATGATTTATTATGTCAATGGAACTCTTGCTTATGGTTTAAGATATTTTATTGAGTTCAACTGTGACCATGCGAACTACATCAATGTGAATTTATACAACAAAAGGCAAAATTAAGCTTCATGTCTACAACAGAAATGGAGTATGATATTGTAAGAGGTTATTGCACGCTTCTTTAGATGAAATAAACGCTTGCAGACTACAGAATTGAACAAGTCACTATAGCTATGATAATAATAATGCTATAAATATCCAAAGACCACCTCTCCCTTATAAAGACTTCCTTAACTAGGGAACCTTCTACATATCCAGAGAAACTCCTGTCTTTCATGCGATGCCCACCATTAAGAAACATGAACCATAGCATTTTTTTTCCCTTTCAACAAGTTCACCCCAACTGCTACACCATTCAAAGGCAACTTGCACTACCACACCGGTTTTTTTTTTTTTTCCTTGAACTCAAGGCTAAAATTTGTTAACCCTAATATAGATCTGAAAG